GAGTACTTCCACGGGGATGGGGACACTCATGGGGACACAGGGGCATCCTTGGGGATGGGGACACCCATGGCAGGTTGGGGACACCCATGGCAGGATGGGGATGGGGGCCTCCTTGGGAACTGGGAATAGGACTGGGGACCTCCATGGGAATGAGGACCTCCATGGGGATGAGGACAGGGACACCCATGGGGATGGGGACACCCATGGTGGGATGGGGTGGGGACACTCATGGGGACACAGGGGCATCCTTGGGGATGGGGACACCCATGGCAGGTTGGGGACACCCATGGCAGGATGGGGATGGGGGCCTCCTTGGGAACTGGGAATAGGACTGGGGACCTCCATGGGAATGAGGACCTCCATGGGGATGAGGACAGGGACACCCATGGGGATGGGGACACCCATGGTGGGATGGGGATGGGATTGAGGATCTCCATGGGGATGGGGATGGGATTGGGGACCTCCACGGGGATGGGAGGGACATCCATGGAGACTGATGGTGGGGCTGGGGACCTCCATGGGGATGGAGACCTCCACGACGTTGGAGACGGGATCATCCGTGGGGATGGTAACACCCATGGCCATGAAGACAGGACCATCCACGGGGCTGAGCACAAGCACATCCACAAGGACCAGGGCCATCACCCACCGTGCCTCAGTTTCCCTCCCCATAGCCCCCATTTCTCTCTCTCTCTCGCGGTGGTGGTGGGACAGTGGGACCTCCTGCAGAACGTGCTGAACGACTCCTTGATCTACATCTACTCGGTGTGCAACGTGCTGGAGGGCGAGCAGGAGAACTGGCTCCGCACCAACTGGATCTACCGCGGGGTGGCCCAACGCATCTTCATCGAGCTCCATTTCACCGTCCGCGACTGCAACAGCTTCCCGACGGCCGGCGGCGGTTCCTGCAAGGAGACCTTCAACCTCTACTACGCCGAATCCGACGTGGATTACGGCACCAACTTCCAAAAGAGACAATTCAAGAAGATCGACACCATCGCGCCGGATGAAATCACCGTCCGGGAGGATTTCGTGTCGCGCAACGTCAAAGTCAACGTGGAGATCCGATCGGTGGGACCTCTCCGCCGGAAAGGTTTCTACTTGGCATTCCAAGACTTAGGAGCGTGCGTGGCGTTACTCTCCGTCCGGATTTATTACAAGAGGTGCCCGGCGTTTTTCCGGGGCATGGCCCGCTTTCCCGAGACGGTGGCCGGCGTCGACTCGCAGCAGCTGGCCGAGGTGCGCGGCACGTGCGTGGAGGACGCGGTGGCCGAGCAGGCGCCGGCGCTGCACTGCAACGCCGACGGCGAGT